GAGCACTTCCGAATGCCTTCGATCCCAAACGAAGCAGCTCGGCTCTCTCCGCCCGGCCCCCCGACTCGATTCCGAACGCTGACGAGTCCCTCCGAGCCCCGCACCCAGCCCGCGCCGAGCCTTGCCGAGCACCGCCGAGCCGAGCCCCATCGACTTTTCCGGCCTCGGCTGGGCGCTGTCCACCACTCGCAACGCCTGAAACCTCACCCAGCTCCGGTGGCTGGGGCTTCGACAGGGCTCTGAGCCCGCCGCTGCGGATCACAGACTTCTGAAGTTTGCAAATATCCCCCTTAGAGAGAGAGGGGTGGCTCCGCTCGCATTTACCGCCCTGCAAGGGCTCCCGGCAGATGCAACATGCACCTTGTTGCAAGGAGCAATTCCCCAGGCCCCGCCTCCCCATCCATTTGGGTTGCACAAGCTCCAGAGAAGCCCCAGGCCAAATTACCCGCGGCTCAGAGGGGTGCGGCGAGCCGAGGGGGCCTTTGCACAGAAAGTCCCAGGCGCCTCTCGAACAAAAATAAGAACATGTCAAGCAGACGGGGAAAATTGTCTCCAAGTCGCTACTCCCTACCATCATGGCGCCGCCTAGAACCCGCTTGTCATGCCTGTTACACATGCAAGAATTTTTGCATCTTGTTTCTAAAACCGCAAGCACGCTTCGTCTCCCACCCACCTTTCCACGAAAGGGGTTTTTATTTTCCATTGTTTTCCTACGGGATGCAATTACTTCGGCTATCCTGTCAAGTTGAAAAATAATCATTTTTGTTTACTGCACAGCAACCCCTAATTAGGAGCTGTGTGTGCACGAAGGTGTCACAGCAAAGCGACGTGGAATCCTCGCTAAATGGTCTTAACGAACTCCTCCATCCGGAACCGACAGCTCAACGAAAGCAGCAGGGCCGGGAGCCTGGAAGGGGCACCCCTTCCCCACAGGCCACCCCCTCCCCAAGCAAGCGGTCTGTGGGCTCGCCAGGAACTGCCGAGTTGATGGGGCAAGAAGCGAGCCGAGAGTGGGAAGGAGGGGCCAGGCTCCTTACTGAGAAAGTGCGGAAGGGAAGGAATATCCCATTTTGTTTTAATTTTCCACCATCACTCAAATCCACCCCCAGTTAATTAGGAGGGGAAACTGATATCCAAGGCAGAAGGGGGCGGTGGCAAGTGGGGCCTGAAATCCGCATTGTAGGTAGATTACATGGAATATGGCCTTTGCAGAGTGTAAATAAATACATTGATAAAGGCCACAGAGTGAAGGAAAACTGCCTGTGTCAGGACAGCAAACGCTGGGAGAGTGGGGGAGGAAGGGGGGCAGCAAGGGGCGGGCATTCGGCCTCGCAGCCAGCGTCCCCTTTCCACCTCTGCCTTGCACACACAGCGATGCCAGGCACATGCACTTGGAAACCCACGCGCCCCTTCCCCTGAC